TGTAATCTTGGAGAGAGCAAATTTAGTTGACTGATCAAAAGGGAAGCAGATTGTAAAGGATTATAAAGCAGAGGCAAACAAAAGGAGGCACCTTTTTTTTATAAATTTGACTGTTAAAGGGAAAAAATATATAGGATTAAGGAGATAGTAGGATCAAATCAAAGTTTCTTAAGAAACAATCAATCAGCAAGCATTTGTTAAGCACAGAGTACTGCTAGGCACTGTGTTTGTTGTTGGAGATTGAAGTGACAAAAACTGGGTCATCTTCATTTTTTTTTTTTTTTTAGTTTTTGATAGTTTGATTGGTATGGATAAGTAAATTAACTTAGTTAGCTTGTTTGTTTTGTTCTTGAGGCAATTGGGGCTAAGTGACTTGCCCAGGGTCACACAGCTAGTAAGTGTCAAGTGTTTGGTCTGAGGCCAGATTTGAACTCAGGTACTCCTGACTTCAGGGCTGGTTCTCTATCCACTGCGACATCTAGCTGCCCCTCACCTCCAGTGTTCTTGATTTTTGCCTTGCCAATGAAATCTGATGACTGGAAGAGAAAATGAGGCAGATGACTTTGCATTGCTCTGCCTAGCTTAAATCCAATTCACTTGCAAGTCAAAACATCACCCTCCTTGGTCCTCTTTGAGAATGAAGCAGGAACAACAGTAACAACAGTGACAAAAACAAATAGTACCCACCTTAATGTAGTACACATTCTATCGAAGGAGACAACAGCACTCTACTTTGCCCTTATCAGGTATATTGTGGTCAGTACAAGATGCAAGTTTAAGCAAGACACTTACAACCTAGAGAGTCTTCTGAAGGTGACCAGGATGGGGAAGGACTTCAGCCCATGTCACATGAAGACTGGCTAAGGAAGCACTTCTTAAGCTTTTTGGTCTTCGGACCTCTTTACACTCTTAAAAGTTATGGAGGACTCCTCCCCCAATAGCTGTTGTCTATGTGGGTTATGTCTATTGGTATTTACTGGATTTTAAATTAAAGCATCTTAGTATTATTATGAAAATAGTTTTAACCTAGTAGACCCCCAAAAAGGTCTTGAGTACTCCTCAAGGGTTCCTAGACCACATTTTGAGAACCAATGGGCTGAAAGGACTAGAGGCTTTTAGCCTGGAGAAGAAAACACTCATGGGGGTACCCATGCTAGTTGTCTCCTAGAATCTGAAGGGTTGTCATGTGAAGGAGAGATTTGGCTTACTCTGTCTGACCTTGCAAGGTAGAACTAGGGAAAATTTCACCTGAGAGGACTGTGATTCTATGTATATGTGTATGATGTATGCAGAGTGAGTACAAGGTAATTTTGAGGGAGGAGGCAACTGTTAATGGTTGAGGGGAGCTAATCAATTCATAAGCATTTGTTAAGTACTATGTGCCAGGAATTGTACTAGGTGCTGGGGATACAAACACAAAGAATGAAACCATCTATATTCTCCAGAAGATGGCATTCTAATGAGGGAGACCACAAGCGTATTTATATGCATGTGTAGTATAAATATAGAGAAGATTAAATACAAATAAATACAAGGTGGTTGAGGGGAGGGTACTAGTAGCTGGAAGGATCAGGAAAGGTTTTATGTAGATTATGTTGGAGCTGTCTTGAAGAGATGGATTCTATGGAGCAGAAGTGAGGAGGGAATGAATTCCAGGCAGGGAAGACAGTCAATGCAAGGGCATGGAGGTGAGAGATGTGTGAACAGAGAGAAAACCAGTCAGGCTGGATGGGAGACTGTGGGAGAGGAAATAATGTCCAATGAGGCTGGAAAGAGAGGGCCTAGGTTGGGTAGGCCTTTATAAGCTAAATGGAAGACTGTATACTTGTTCCTAGAAGTAATAGGGAGCCACTGAAGTTAATTGAGTAAAGGAGTAGTATGATTATATCTGGGCTTCAGGAAAATCATTCTGGCAGCTGTGTGGAGGATAGACTGGAGAGGAGAGAGAGAAGAGGCAGTAAGATCATTTATGAGGCTGTGGCAATAATCTAGGTGACCGGGGATGAGGGCCTGAGGTAAAAATGGCAGGTTTGGACAAATGATTAAGTAATGGGACAGGGAAGCATAAGGGCTCAAGGATAATGTCAGGGGTAAGCACCCTGGGAACTGGAAAAACGGTGTTGCCTTTGAAAGCAATATGTTCACTTGAAAAGGTTGATTTTGAGGAAAATTGGGTTTGAGGATCAGTAAAGGCCTAATATAGAAAGTGGTATTTGCTAAGTTTTGAAGGAAATTAGGAATGCTAAGATGCAGTGGTGAGGAGCAAGTGAATTTATTATGAGGGAAAACATGCAAAGGCACAGGATTTGGTTGTGTTCAGTTATTTCCAACTCTTTGTGACCCCTTTTGGGGTTTTCTTGGCAAAGATACTTCGAGTGGTTTGTTATCTTCTCATTCCAGCTCATACTGCAGATTAAGGAAAGTGAGGTAAACAGGGTAAAGTGACTTGAGCAGGGTTACATAGCTACTAAATGTCTGAGGAGAGATGTGAACTCAGGTACTCCCGATTCCAGGCCTGTCCCTCTATTCATTGAGCCACCCAGCTGCACACTTAGCTAGTATGCAATAAGGCAAACTGATGGGACCACAGGGTGGATGAAAGGCAGTCATATCTGTATAAGGCCAGAAAGGTAGAGTGGGGCCTGGTTGTGAAAAGATCATCACAGATTTAGAGTTAGAATGGACCTTAAAGGCTATGTAGTCCAACACCCTCATTTAAGATGAGGAAACAAGGTTGAAGGGCTTTCCCATGGTCACAGTTTGGCACAAGAGGTGGGATATGAATACAATTCCTCCAGACTCCAAGCCTAGGACTTTACCCATTTCATCACAGGTTTTAAATGCCAATGGGAGTTTTTATTTGACCCTATTACTTAATAGGGTACTGAGGAGTTTTGATAGAGGAATGACATGATCAGATCCGAGCTTTAGGAAAAAGAGATCTGGTCACATTTGAAGGAAGAAGGGGTCAGTACACGAGACTGACATTTAGGGAAAGGGGATGACAAAAGGAGCAAGCTCTCAGAGGAGTCAGCAAGACAGAAGTCCAACAGATAGTATTATCTAAGAAAAGGGCCACCTTGTCCTCTGAGACTGGCAGGATTCCTCTGAAGTATGGATTTGAAGAAAGGGGAGGAACTCTTAACAGGTTAGTCCATTGCCTTCAATAAAATGAGTCAAGGTCCTCTATGGAAGCAGGCCAAATATCAATATGCAGGTACCTTGAAGAAAGGTTCTGAACAGCCCCTGCAGTCTGTAGGGCAGAGCCAATCAGAGCAGAGTAAAGCAACACTGCGGGGCCAGGTGAGGCTGATTCACAAATGTACAGTGAATGCTGCTGGCACAAGTTCTCCAGAACATGAAGAGTGACAAAGGCAGGTAAGAATGACTCAGGGTTGGGGTTTGGGAAGGGATGTGTGGCAATAGGTCAAGGCCACAAAGAATTCAAGGGTAGAGGCCAGGGTACAATTAAGAGGTTAATTACAGGGTCAAGATTTTGGAATCGTAAAGTATTCATACCCTTTGGCCAAGCAATCCCACATACACCCCCAGGAAGTCAAAGACAAAAAGGAAGATCCCATAATATACCAAAATATTCATAGTAGTGCTTTTGGTGGTGGCATAAAACTGGAAACAAAACCCCATTGATGGGGAACCTCTTTAAAAATTTTTGCTTTTGTTTTTACCTCCCCTCAATGTATTTATCTCATTTCTCAATATGTTCCCCCTCTCTCATCAAATACCATGCTTTTTAACAAAGGAAAAGAGAAAAAAAAAGTTTAGCAAAACTAACCAACACATCACTGAAATCTAACATTCTAAAGAGTGTACCACGCTCACAAGTCCCCATCTTTGCAAAAGAAGGGCAACATGCTCTTATCTCTTATTTACTATAATTCCAGAGTTTAGTTTTTGTCCTTTCCATTCACTGTTTTAGTCATTGTGCATATCTTCCTGGTTCTGCTTAGGGGAAAGGGAGTAATAAAGATATTCAGACAGAGATTGATAGATTAAAGATACATTTTACTGTGCCAGGTGTTGGGTGAAAACTTTGTGAATATCACCATTTGGTCCTTACAACCACCCTGCAAGGTACACAGACATGGAGGAACTTGCCCAGAATCACACAGCTAGTGTCTGAAACTGGATTTGAACTCTGGTCTTCCTGACTCCTGGCCTAGCACTCTATCCACTGCACATCTTACTGCTTACTTCACTTTGCATCATTTCTTGTTTCCATGTTACTACATATAATTTGTTTAGCCACCCCCTAATAAATGAAAATCTAATTTTTTTCCAGTTCTTTACTACTACAGAAAGGGTTACAAAACTATTTTGTTGTATACAGGACATTTCTTTTTATGACTGACCTTCCTGGGATATATATTTAGCAGTAGCATCTTTGGGTTCTAGCATATATGGACACTTTAGTTGATTGGGCAATGATCAAGCAAATTATGGTATATAAATGTATCAAATCCTTCTGAGAGGCAGCGTGGCATGTGGGACATAGAGCCAGCTAATCAAAGATAGGTCTCAGAGTAAGCCAGAACAGGATTCAAGTATAATCTCTGAAACAAACTAGCTGTGTGACCCTGGAGAAGTCACAATTTCTTTCAATACCCAAGGCAACTAGCCACTAAGACCAAAAGTTACTAACAGTTAGAGATCTGCATTGGTAGAGAGAGCTCCCTACACTGATGAAATCACTGGGCTGGAGACCAAGAAATAAAAAAAAAAAATCTTGAGGAATATGAGGAATTCAGAGGAAAAAACTTGTATGAAAAAATACAGAGCAAAGTAAGCAGAACCAGAACGACTCACATGACTAAAGGGCTGAATGTGGAAGACTGGGATTGACACAGCTGCTCTATTGGCAAAACTTTTTTTTGTTCCAAGAGGAGAGTGAAGAGCCTATAAAAGGAATGATTGTGATGTAAAAAAGGACACTAGTAAAAGTGGGAAAAAAAAGAAAAGGATATATTTCACCACACAAAAAATTCATATGACCTGCATATTTATTGATCATGTATCCCACAGTAAAAAATTTTGGACGTCCCCACCCCATACAAATAGAGTAGGTGTTATTATCTAGGTAGTTTACACTAAATGCAAACCAGTCAAATTAGATTTTATTACACAAAAGTTCACACTATTATGCAGAGCTACACAAAATTCAACACTGATGTTTGGCAGCCCTAACATACAGACAGACTGGTGCTTCACAAGCCCAAAGCAGTTTAATCCTTCTCTTACTTTGGAGTGGCTCTCCACATTCTCGGACAGCCACAAGTGTCCTTTGTTCACAGTCATAAATACCCACATTTTTAGTGTCACTGGCTAGCTAACCAGTCAATTCTATTGGGGGCAAAGGCTCTTTAACAGCTCTCTTTATCCCGGGGAGGCTTCTCCGCCTCCGAGCTGCCAGCTCAATCTTCTGGACTAGCTCCACGTCCCAACGATGAGTCACAAAACTAAGCACAGATCCCAGCACCTCGCTCCCCACTCGGCCTACTCTGCCAGTTCTGTGAATATAGTCCTGCAAAGTGGGTGGAAAGTCATAATTGATAACCAGCTCCACCCGAGTACTGTCCAGGCCCCGAGAAGCTATATCAGTGCAGAGGAGAACGTCCCTGGTGCCATTCTGGAAGGACTGGAAGATGCCTGCTCTCATGGAGGCAGGCATCTGTCCCTGAAGCCTCAGGTGCTGGATTTTGTGGTCATCCAGGATATAGCCCAGCCAGTTCACGGTACTGGAACTATTACAGAACACCAGAACAGCCCCAGATGAGGCGGGCTTGTCCTCTCCTTGGTGCTTGAGAATCTGTATCAATTCCGTCACTTTCTCACTACCCTTTAGCCTTAGGAACCTTTGCCGGACGTGAGGCATAATGCAGTGCAGCCTGGGGCTGGTGATGGTAGTGAGGTTGCTCAGGTCCGTGACTTTGCTCAACAGCTCTCCCACTCCCTCCGGAAAAGTGGCCCCCACCAGCACCAGCTGGGCCCTGGGGTTGAAGGGGTCTTCCAGGTCGGCCAGGTGCTCGGCTATGGGGCTCTTGCCCAGGATGTATTCCACTAGCTCCAGGAAGCTCTCGTCCAGCAGGGTGTCCGCTTCGTCCAGCACCAGGAAGCAGAGCTGCTCCAGGCTCAGCAGGCGCCCCTTCAGCGTCTTCCACAGGGCTCCCGGCGTGGCCACCAGCACGTCGGCGGGGGGCTCCACGGAGAGCTGCCGCCGGACGCTGCCCATGCCCCGGCCGCCGCCAATCTCCCGCACGCACAGCTCCAGGGCCCGGCCCAGAGGCCCCGCCACGGCCCGCACCTGCTCGGCCAGCTCCCGGGAGGGCACCAGCACGAGGCCGCGGGGTGCGGGGCAGGCGGCGGCCAGCCTGGGCCGGCTCAGCAGGCGCTGCAGCAGGGGTAGCACGTAGCTCAGGGTCTTGCCGCTGCCTGTCTCGGCCGCGCAGAGCAGGTGGCGGCCGTGGAGCAGCGGGGGCACGGCTCGGAGCTGCACCCACGTGGGCCGCACGACGGCGGGCGCGGCCTGCTGCAGGGCCTCCAGCACGCGGGGCTGCAGGCCCAGCGCGGCGAAGCCGGCCCCAGCCCCGTGCTCGTGCTCCGCCACCCCGTCGGCCCCGGCCTCGGCAGGCAGCGCGGGCACCTGGCGGTGCGTGCGCTCGATGGAGAAATGGTCGCCGCGCGAACGCCGGTGCTTCCAGCCGCGCGAGGCGAGCGGCGCGCGCTCCCAACGGCCCAGCGTGAGACGCGCCGGCTGGTTGAATTCGGGCCGCCGCGCCTCGATAAGCAGCGGGCCGGGCCGCAGCACTACGGCCCGCGGCGCAGGCCCGCCTCGGGCCCCCGCCCCGCGCCGCAGCTGCAGAGGCTGCGGGACGCGGATCACAGGCAGCGGCTCCTGGGGCCCTTCAGAAGACAGGCCCCGGTAGGGCCCACCCGGCCCCTGCAGGAGGAGCAGCAGCAGGCGCGGCGGAGCCCGGAGCGCCATCACTCGGAGGCCGCTACCCGAGGCGGACCGGGACAGGCCGGGCGCGCCGCAGTGACATCACCGTCGCACAGCGCTGACGCACTACGGAAGCCCACGTGCGAGGGGCCGTCTGCGGCGTCGCCTGATCGCCGAGTGAGCGAGGTTCGTAGTCAGTCCCTAAGAAGCGCGGCCGGGCGTCGGGTCGGGTTCTGCTTCCACCCTCGAGTCCGCTGCCCCGGGGTCCGGGCCTGGCGGAGGGTCGGGCTTCCTCGGGCCAGGGTCTCCTTCGTCTCAGGACGGGAAGGGGTGGACCAGAGGCTGCGGCGGTCCGCTTGCGGGGCGGGCGGAGCGGGTCGGTGCCGTGCCCTGGGGCAGAGCCCGGGTCCTTGTGGCTGAGGCCTTCAAGGCCCCCCCTACCCGCAGCCTCCTGGTGGACAGCTGAGTCCGGGGGGGTCCTTAGCGCGGGGCGGCCTCAGTCTCTGGGGCTCGTGGGAGGAGCTGGACGGGCATGGGAGGGCCGCCCCCTGCTCGCCCCTCACTGACACGAGAAGCGCCCTTCAGTTACAACATTCGTCCTTCCGAGGGATCCGCAGGCTTCCCGGTGCAAGCCCAACCTTGTTCCCCGGGGGCTCTTCTTGGGGACTGGCTCATCCCGGTGGGGGGGGGCCAGGGGACCGAGGGACTGACCGCTCAGGGCCTCGGGACCCTCGGGCTTTGTGCTGCTCTCGGGGCCTGCAATCACCTCGGTTCTTTGCTTCATACTTTTTCATGCCAGTTCACCAAGATGTTCTTCCACCGTTCATTCATTAAACGTTAGGCGCTCTACGAGGCATTGAAGGGCAGTACGAAATCCACCTGAGACACAGCCCCTTCCTTCCCAGAGCTTAGCGTCTAGGAGAGAACTAAAGGAAGAAGGTTTGGGATGGTGGTACCTTGAGAGCATAGACAGATTTAAGGAAGAATTTTTGGTGTTAGAGAGACCTGATTATGTTTGTACACAGTCAAGCAACCAACATTTACTGGGTGCTGTGCCAAGCGCTTAGGAAGAAGTGTCAGGTCCAGCGCCCAGGAAGGGGGGCAAACTTCCCGTAATTGGTGCTGGAAAGAGCGGGACTTGAACAAAGGTCTTCTAGCTGGAAAGCCAGAACACTCTTGCCACTCTGTAACTCAAGTTTACCCAAATAGGAAGGGCTGAGTGGCTTGGGAGTGATGAAGGTGATTGAGAGGGTAAATGTGTGACTAGAAGATTTATTGGGGAGCAAGACAGTGGAGGAGGCACCTGGCCATAGGAGTAGGGTCAAACTGGGATGATTTACCTTATCAGGCAGTGAGGGGCACTTCTTCCTGGAGAGGGTGAGGAAGGGGAGGATGTATGAAGAAGACGCTGAGAAGTTTAGTGAGGTTTCTAGGATCAAACTGTCAGTGTCAGAGATGAGATCTGAACCCGGGTCTTCCTAATACTGAGTCTAGTGCTCTATTCACTGCCCCAAGGGGCCTCCACTTTTATTAGTATTGAGATAATGCTGTATAGACTGTACATTTGTTATGAGAATATAGAGAAAAGAGTGGTCTTATTGGAAGTAAACTCTGAATTGGTACTTGAATGAAGTAATAGACTGAGATTAGTGGAAAAGGAAAGAGGATTGGTGTGACCAAAGTTATGGATCCAAAAATGAACAGGATGTTTTTAAAGAGGCAGTCAGTGAGTTGATTTATTTGCAGAGAAACTTTATATGCGACCTTGCTATCTGGATTCTTGTCTTCTCTCTGTTTCTATTATCTCCACCTTCAGCTCCTTTCAATCTTTGAGACTTTTACTCTACAGCTAGAGGCATAGCAAGTGAAGTCAGGAAGACCTGAGTTCAAATGTAGCCAGACACTTTATAACTATAAGACTCTGGGCAAATCACTTAACCTCTGTCTTCCTTGGTTTCTTCCTTTGTAAAATGGGGATAACAATGGCATCCACTTCCCAGGGTTGTTGTGAGGATCATATGAAATAATATTTGTAAAGTATTTTGCAAACCTTAAAGCACTATATAAAGGCCAGTTATTACTATTTTCTGAGGCATTGAGGTGGCACAGTAAATAGATGCTGGACCTGAAGTCAGGAAGACCTGAGTTTAAATCCAGCCTCAGACACTTATTAATTGTGTGACATTTAAACTCTGTTTGCCTCAGTTTCCTTAACTGTAAGATGGGGTTCATAACAGTACCTACCTCCCGTGGTTGTTGTGTGACATAATAGTTGTAAAGTGTTTAGCATGGTGCCTGCCACATAGGGGGGACCTAATAAATGCTTGTTCCTTTCCATTGTTACCCTAAGTGGTTCCCACTTAAATCTAAACCTCTTATGCATTTTAGGGCTCCCCTAACCATCATTCATATAATGCCTTTCATTTCTCATTACAGTCTTGCTCAACTAAACAATCACAATTAACAAATTACTTTCTTACTTCCAAACCTTTTTATTTTGTAAATATATACTGTCCTCTCTTTCTGACTTCCCTACCTTCAGATGCTAATGGAAAGTTGATGTAGTTGTCTGGCAAATGAGCTATATTACACTACATAGAATCCAATCACTCTACTTGTACACATTAGCAGTTATGTATCTATTGGTTGTAGTGGAAAGAATAGTGGATTTGTAATCAGGAAAGATCTGGGTTTGAATCCTGGCTCTGATATTTACCAGTTGTGTGATCATGGGTGAGCCACTTTAATCTTTTTGAGGTTATTATTTTTTAAAATGTTCCAATATTGTATAAATTGTTCTTTTTTTTTTTTTTTTTTTTTTGGTCTAGGCAGTGGAGTTAAGTGACTTGCCTAGGGTCACACAGCTAGTAAGTATTATGTGTCTGAGGCTGGATTTGAACTCAGGTCCTCCCGACTCCAGGGCCGGTGCTGTATCCACTGTGCCACCTAGCTCCCCCTAATTGTTCTTTCTGTAGCTGTTCATACATACCTGCCCAGGTTTCGCTGGCAATCTCTTTTGTCATTTCTTACAATAATATCACATTAATATAATTTGCTCAGCCGTCATCCAGTGTATGAGCACCCCCATAATTTAGTTCTTTGCCACAGCGAAGCGTGCTTCTCTGTGAATATTTAGTGTATGTAGATACTTTTCTCTCTTTGATCTCTTTGGATATATGCCCAAAACTTACATTTTAATAGGGAAAACAACATATCAAAAATTATATGAGAGAGAGAGAGAGAAAGGTAATTTGTGAGGGAAGGCTTCTCACAGAAGGTGGGATTTGAGCTGAATCTTGAAACTGGGAGGCCAGAGGTGAGGGGGATGAGCATTCCTGGCATTGGAGATAGGAAGAAAACCACTACATCTGGAGTTGTAGTGTTGTGTTCCAGGAACAGCAGGAAGGCTGTGTTGCTGCATGTTAGAGTACACGGGGGGAAGTAAAGTGTAAGAAGACTGGAAAGGGAGGAAATGGCCAGATTGTGGGAAGAGATTTAAAGTCAAACCAGTGCGTCTATATTTGATCCTAGAGGAAGCAGAGAGCCATTGGAGTTGATTCAGTTGGGAGGGGGGGTGTTTTTGTGACACAGTTAGACCTGTGCTTTAGGAAGATCCTTTGGCAGCTGAGTCAATAGAAGATGCACTGGAGTGGGGGGAGTCCTAAGGAAGAAGGGACCAACTGTTGCAGTAGTCCAGGCAAGAGGTGATGAAAGGTCCCAGCCCCAGGGGGCCAGCTGTATGAGTGCAGAGAAAGGGATGTGTAAAAGAGATGTGGACGTAGAAAGAAGGCTTGGCAGCAGATGCCAAGAGTGAGAGGAAAGAGTTGAAAATGACCCCAAGACCATGAACCCAGGTGACAGGGAGAATGCTGGTTTACTTGACAGTGATGGGAAAGAGGAGAAGAGAGGAGGGTTTGGGGGGGGGGAGAGAGATAATATTTGTTTTGGACATGTTGCGTTTGAGATGCCCATGAAATATCCAAGTCAAGATGTCCAAAAGTCAGTTGGTGATGTGAGACTGGAGCTTAGGAGAAAAGTTAGAAGTTGGGTATTTAGATCTGGGAATCATCTGCATAGAGAGTCTGGTCATTGACCTCTTGGGGGCTGTCAGAATGGCCAATCAATATAGTATGCAGGGGTTCTTAACTTTTTTGGTATTATAGACTGCTTTGGCAGTTGGGTGGAGTCTATGGACTCCTTAGGATGATGTTTTTGACTCCATAAGATTACATTACTGTAGGCGCAGTGGATAGAGCATTGGCCCTGGAGTCCAAGAGGACCTGAATTCAAATCCAGCCTCAGACACTTAACATTTAATAGCTCCTGGGCAAGTCACTTAACTCCGATTGCCTCACCCCCAAAAAAATTACATTACTGCATATGATTACAAAGGAAACCAATTATATTGAAATACAGTTATCCAAAAAAATTTTTTAAGAGTTTGGAGACCCCAAGTTACAAACCCCTGGTACATACAGAGAAGACAAGATGGCTCAGGACAGAGCCTTGAGAGAAACCCACAGTTAGTGAGTTGAAGAAAAAAAATTAATACTAATAATATACTCTGAAATTTAGATCCAAGTCTGTCAGGAATAATTTTAATGTATAACTAAACCATTTATAGGTTGGAGAGAGAGATGTCTAAATGGGCATGCTTTCCAACCTATCTCTCTACTCCAAGAAAATTTCAGGTAACATTTGTAGGAATCTTGAATAAGGAAAAAATCATAATATGTTAAAACACAGTTTTGGGTTAATGTTCCAGAATAGTCACCCACTCAATTTCTTCCTGGATTACTGCTTCCCCTTAAAGAGTTCCTTCTTGTGATCAATATCTTAACCTTGAATTTTGAAAGAGATGACCCCTACTCTATGTGGGTCATGGCAGCAGTCACTCCAATTGGTGGGGAGGCAATCATACCATTTAGACAAGAGTTCAGTTTGTTTATCACCCTTAGTCCATTTCAAAGGAAACCCTTTGTTCTTTCCACTTTCCGAAAGGGAAAGGTCTAGAAAGGATTTTTGGCTAGAGAAATAATATTTCTTACTATTTCTAGAG